AACTGTAAATTCTGATCAACTACTATCTATCTACTATCAGTTTCTTAAGGCTCTTTTTAACATTAATATACTTGCTGAAGGATATTCCAGAAAGAAACTGCTCTGTACACAGATGGTTAGTTTGAGGCAGTGGTCACACAAAAGTAATAATAGAGGTTTAAAAGCAATGTCTATTGCAGGTTGGTAACAACTAAGATAAAAGGCTAAACAGTTCATGTGAAGTCCAGATTTGATGTAAATCATGCTAGTTGTTCATCAGGCACTGCTGCATGAAATTAACATTTGTTCTAAAGTGACATCCAAGTTGCTTGTCGTGCAGCTTCATTTTGGACGACCTACACTTTATCTAAATCAGGGGTGTCAAACTCCTGTCCTGGAGGCCCAGTGTCCTGCAGCTTTTAGATGGACCTCTGCTGCACCACATCTGAATAGAATAATTAGGTCATTAGCAAGGCTCTGGAGAACAAGGAGGAGGTAATTAAACCATTTCATTTCAGTGTTTTGTACCTGTGGCACATCTAGAGACTGCAGGAAAGTCGCCCTTGAGGACTGGAGTTTGACACCTGTGATCTATGATCAAACAACTGAACGGATATTCAAATTGAACTAAACAGCTCTGGTACAAATGTTCTGATTTCAAGAGGCATGACATGCACACTGTGGCAGATTACATCAACATGTCTGCTCACTTTAGTGCTTCAGCACTGAAATGAGAAAAAGAAATAGCAAAGCTCTTTGTTTGCTGGCCCTTCTACATTCTGACCATTGTGACGTATACATCATGACTGAACAACCCCATCACTGAAATAAGTGGCCAAAATGAGGTTTTCATGTAGGCTGTCTGATCAGGATGCCTCCCACTTGCCTCTCTCTGAACGTTTTCCCATTGGAATATGGCCACTGGGAATGTCCTGGAATTAGCTGGAGAGTGTCTCTGGGCATCTGTCTGGGATTCCTTACTGGGCTGCAGTTTGTCATCCATTTTTGTATTGGAGAACATTCACAGTGAATAAAGTGTTGCGCATTAGAACGTACATGAGAGAGTAAGAGTAATACATGAAGAAGCTAAACATTTCAGAATACCGATCCAAAGTCAGTCAGACCCAGTGATCTGTCTATCTGAAACATTTCATTACGGATGATTATTTTTCACTTTGTTTCTGATAAATTAAATGAAATTAAACTCTGCCCTTTTCATGGACATGTCTTTGGCTGTTGGTAGGGTGACAGGAGAGTAGGGCCCTGGGCACCATTCTGATGATGCCCTGGATAAAGGATGCAAACAATCAAACTCAGAGATTCAAACTCTGAATCTCTGAATCCTGGCTCCAGCAGGGACTTCCATGTTGTTTGATCTTTTGTAGCATGCTGCCCTCTTGTGTATGATTGAAGCAATGAAAACATAAAAACTTTAGCCCCATGTACCCCCTGAATAATTCTGATGATGTAACTTAAATCATTGTAATTACTATATAGTCCTACACTTATTAAACTCCACCTGAGTTTGGAGCTCCAAACTCAGTGAGTATAGGTTGTTTTATAGTAATACAATAATTTGTAGCCTTATCTGTCAGCCTAAAATCTATTTTTTTTAATCCCTTAATGACACCTGTGTCCTCGTGGACTCGTTGACTTATATGTAAGTGTTTTTGGGTGACAGTTAAGGTTATGCAAATTATAAAAAAATGCACTAAGGTTTGCAATTTTTTTCACTGCTCTGCCTTTTTATAGATTAACACAGATTTTGCAAATTGAAAGTAGCTAGTTAATTCGTCAGGCTGTCTGCGGGTAGAACCTGCAGCAGTAGAGAAACAACACGAAGCCAAATGAGGTTTCATGCATGTCTCATTCAATGCCAAAAGTTAGTCTGCTAAAGAGGCTCCTGCAAAAGTGTTCAATCTGAAGCACATTACTCCATTACCATGCTGCATGCTACAGCTGACACTTTGTATTGTACCATCTACTTGTTGCATCGTTGATTAGTTGTTTTTTTTTTTATCTTCATGGGTTGTGTGAATGTTTTTATTTGCAACTCTATTGCACTTTGCCCAAGACAAATTTGTCAGTTAGTCTTGTCTGTTTGTCAATTGGTTCTGTTTATTTAATCTATCTGCCCTGCCTTTAGCTAAGGTAAGGTATTTATATAACACATTTCAGTAAAAAGGCAGGTCAGTGCTTTACTTTGTTGACCAATTGGAACAATTTCTCAAAACCCAATTTTTAATCATTTTTTTTATTTAAGCAGGGAAAAATTGTTGGAGGCTTCCTCCAGTTAGCTGACCAGTAAAGCGCAGCACCGCATGGTGTTAACCCACTGACAGTTCAACAGGAAGAGGAAGAGTTCCTCTGTGTGAACATGTGGATCATTTTTTTGTCTTCACAGAAACAAACTTGTTTGGGTTTGTCCATCAGAAAGAGCTTTCCATGAGTTTTCCTGAAAAAAGAGCCGTTCTAAAGGAACCGTCCAATCACTGGATCTGCACAGCTGGATCAGACGATCAGCTTATGTCCTGAGTGGAACATTAACTTGTGGTACTGCTTAAGACCAGAACCGCCTGGTTCAGTTCAGACGAACTTTAAAAAGTTCGTCTGAACTCCCCCCCCCCCCCACACACACACAAACCCTGCTGATTGTGTTCAGGAAACACACACACACACACACACACACACACCACACACACACACACACCACCCACACACACACACACACACACACATGCACACGCCCACACACAAGTGAGGTGCAGTAGGCCTGTGCAGAATACTGTTTTTGTTAATAATTACATCTTGTTTGAAATTCAGACAGTTCAGTGCAGATTAAACCAGAATTGCCAAGCAGAGATCAAGTTCATGGATTGAGTTTAACTTTTGCAACATTTCAACTGTCCAGGTAAAGAAAGGCAGCCACTAAAACTTTATTGGATAGTTCAAAAGCTACTCACATCATAAAACAAAATATTAGGTTACTTGGAAAATCGTTTTTGGAAAAAGTTGAAAGTTAGAGGGATTAATAAACCACAGCAAAAAAAAAAAAAATTAATTCCAAATTTAATTTGCATTCATTCAAACTAAACCATTTAATTTGATAACTGAACATCTTAGCCTGGAAACCTAGGTAATTGTTATGTATGTTTTTGGGCTAAGTAGAAACAAATCCAAACATTTAATTACAATAAAAAATACTGGACTTACTTTGGTATTTGCACCTCAAAAAGATTTACTGCAGACAGGACTGGCCCAAGGCATAAGCAAATTAAGCAGCCACTTTGGGCCCCAGGACCACTACGATGGCCCCTCAGTGGAGCTGATATTTTTTTAGAAACAATTTCTATGTCATTATAATATCAATGACATATTGATATTACAATATTAATATTATAATATCTGACATTGGTCAGGTGTGCCTAAACAAAGTCAGTTCTTAAAGAGAGGAAAGACATGGAGCGAGGAAAACAGCAGGATCAGGACAGAAAACTCAAAAGAAGTTTGATGTAAAACCACAGGGCAACAAAATAAACACTAAAGTCTTTTAGTAATCAGCGAAGGCCAATCAGGTCGAGCTTTATATATGTGTGAATCTGATCTCTGATTGACTTTAAGTGGAAGCAGAGTCATCAGTGTGTGTTTGGGTGATGTTGGTTGGTAAAAGTTTTGCCCTCTTCAGCCATGTAGCTGCAGCTTTTAGCTGCTGAATGACGAGGTTGATGAGTTTTCTCCTTCCTTATTGTCATGGAGTAATCTATTTTTATGCACTGACAGTTGATATGAGAGAGTACCAAGTGCAGCAAAGAGATAACTAACTAACTAAGAACCGCTCCATGAAACAGGAGCTACATTTGCAGGAGAGCAAAAGCAATGATCATGAAGCTCAGTTTGGTTCATGTTTGCTTTGACCAGCTAACTCAGCTGAAGTCCATAAAAAAACATGATATTATAAAAAGAGAAAAGTAATTCAAGATTTTTTCATCAGTTTGCAGTTGGCTTTAGAGAGACTTCCAGTCGACCAATAAAGCATAATCAGACTGAAACAAGCCTCCTCCATCCCATCAGCATTCTTAAGCACTCAAGATATGTTTTATTTTTGTTGCTCTAAAACTGAAAGCTAAGATTCATCCGTAACATTTTTATTCATCAATCTAGTGGCAGAGAAGCATGTTTGGGTGATTCCAGGTGAACATAAGTCATTATAAATCATTTCAATTACCAAACTGCAGAACTGCTTTAAGAGCGCCACATAACTACGAGAACATTTTGTCTGCTGGTTGTTTTCAGGAAACAGGAATGCTTTGGGGTTTGGGAACCAAGCAACACGGATGTTAGTGCTGCTTGCAATGTAATTATGTATTAATGTCATGGTGTAGGTTGTGCGGACCCAAACGCAGCAGGCTGAGGCGTCGAGTATTTTTTTGTTGATTTAGCAAAAAAAATTAAGAGCAAAAATTACAGGGAACTAAGGAAGCCAGAGAAGAAGAAAACACATAAATCAAAAAGAAAAGGTCGGCAGGGAACAACGGGATACAGCGGGAGGAAGCGGTGTGGAGTGAGAGGAGGAAAAGTGTACAGCTACTGGGAGACTGAATGTTGGAACAAAGGACCTGGCCTGATTGGCTAAATGGTTTCTGGTGTGAGGGGAGAGAGCAAAGGGGACTAGGAAATGAATCTAACAGTAAAGAAACACTAAACGTGATGAAACTAGACTAACTAAGAATAGCTAAACAGGAAAAATAAAAACAATAAACTAGAATCGCCAAGAAAGGACTGAACTAGAGAAAAACAGGAACAAGTCTGATCAAATCCCAATGAGAAACTAATACAGAATATTAATGAAGCTAGAATCATATATATGGTTAACTCTGTTTCATATTTAAAGCATAGTTTAAGTGTGTCTGGACAGATAAAGCAGTCAATGTGCTTGGTAGAAAACAGCTTTGCCAGTCAGAGACTGGCCCCCTAGCACTCCTAAGTCCTGCCCTGTCCAATCGCTCTGCTGGGTTGACGCGTTATGTAATTGAGGCGCCTGCATGTGAGACTGGAAGGAGGGAATTTAAAGCAACTTTTCTCTTCTGCTCACTCCTTTCCAGCAAGAGGAGATCCAAGTCTGCAGCTGGGTAAGGCAGCATGTTAGCTTTTACTTTTGGTGCATTTTCTCTCTGTCGGAGAGAGCACATCTGCAGCCACTCACACACACACACACACACACACACACACACACACACACACACACACACACACACACACACACAAACAGTAATTTCTTTCCTTTTATACATATATATATATGACTTTTATATGCCAAATATTGCTATTGTTGCACATGTTCTTGAACAAATGAATTATCTTTCCGCGTGTGTGTGTGTGTGTGTGTGTGTGTGTGTGTGTGTGTGTGTGTGTGTGTGTGTGTGTGTGTGTGTGTGTGTGTGTGTGTGTGTGTGTGCGTGTGTGTATGTGTACATCAATTTTCATAGAGCGAAGTTTAAAATTGTAATATCAGAGTTGTGTGTGAACTTTGCTCCTCTGAAGCTTGTACAGCATTTGGGAGCATCTGATTGGCCAGGACCAGAGGGATGGCCTGAATAATGGAACCTGATTGGTTTGAGCAGGCTGGCAGAAGTTCAGGCTCTGTGTATGCCAAATGAACTGCTACGTTGGAGTCATGAATGCTGAGCACAAACTGTGTTGAACTGCTGCTGTGTAACAAGTTTCTCTATTTTTTTTCTAATATTACAGAAACAAATGGAAAAACCCCAAAAAAACTTTAAGCTGCTTATCCAGAAAGGCTGAATCTTAATGATCAGCGTTAGCTCTCTGCTAAGGCATCCACTAATTCATTGTTCAAAACTAGGTCAGAGTAGAATAGCAGTGAAAGGTGCATCTGGATTTGGATCATTTGGTACATAAGAGACACACACAATAACACACACATCAATCAACGCATATGAGCAGCGACATGAGTCAGTTATGCGTCCCATGTCTGATGAGAGCAGCTGAATGTTTCAAATTCTTAACGATGTTCCTGGTTGTGATTAGATAGGATGTTCCAATGCCGTTCAATGTAGGCAGCGGCCAATGATCTTGTAGCGTATCACCATTGATTGTGTGTTCAGTTTTTTTGTCTGGTGCTGTACGTTATGTGATATGATAGAGTCACAGTCATATAGTATCTTAGGGCACTTTCCACATCAGCACATCTCAAAAAATGTGAATATGGCATAAGCATACAAAAGTTTTTCTCATTTATCTCAGAAAGTAAAACTTAAATATCACATAGAATCCTCACACGTCGAGTGATATAATTCAAGTCTTTGTTTCTTGTCTGATGAGAAATGCTTTTTAATGCTTGTTGAGCATAACGCGTTCCAAATGTATTACGTCGATATGAGAGTCATTACAGTTGCTCTTGGGCTGGTGAAAAAAGACATGATTTCTAAATGTGTGTGAATGCTGGCTTGTATTCCTGCGTTTACAAGTTGGTCCAAATAAAATTCAATAAAATGAAAATAATCAAGTTTTTCTTTGCTGGGAAGAGAAACGGAGAAATTTCACCATTTCCTCTCCCTTTGGGACAAAGGCACAAATATCCCTTACCATCAAAACTCAAAACCTGGAGGTAGAGCTAAGAATAGATATTTGCTCTGGCTTTGTCCATGTACACATCCAACAGCCACTTTCTCAAACATTTGACAGATGTAAAGTCAGGTGGACTTGCATCGTCCTGAGCAAGCAGTAAGAGTGAATCGCTCCAAACGGCTCACTTTGTCGTTGTGTTTGCGTGGACACACGATTCTCCTCTCAGAAATAACATCAAGGTCCCGAGAATGAAGATTGCGGTCATCGGTCAGAGCCTGTTCGGCCAGGAGGTTTACCAGGAGCTGAGGAAGGACGGCCACACCATCGTTGGGGTTTTCACTATCCCAGACAAGGACGGCAAGGCCGACCCGCTGGGTGAGAGCCTCATTCAACACAGGAGATATTTATGAGGATCTATGATCTGTCTTTAGACATTTACTTTTATACAGACACAGATTTCATTTAATTGTTCTTTCTTACTGAATCTTTACAGTTGAATTAAAATGATTTATCCTCGTCCTGAATTTATTCTAAGTTTGCTTTTTGTGTGAGTTAAATTATTTAGACCATCAAAGACATGAACAATTGACAAAGACGTTAAGGGAACAAAGCTACCCTGTGCTTCGTCAACCAGTTAACGGATTAAACACGAAACCGGATTGAAGTTAAAGAATCGCACTCATGTCTGATTATTGACAGAACTCACACATCCACACATTACTGAAATAGAACCGGTCTAACAAAATGAAGCAGGTTTCCAAGAACCGACAAAAAACAAAGTCAGTGACCTCTGTCAGTCTGGGAGACAGACTATAAGAAGACTGAGTGTTGTTATTTTGCAATACCTTACTCTTCCTTTCAATACTTGCTCTGGCAAAATGTAATTGATCTTTTCCATTTCACTGAGTGTATGATTAAATAGATGGTCATTGTACAGAATAAATTACAAACAGAAAATAATGGAAACTCCCTGAAATGTTACTCTCGCCATATTACATAATAATTGAATCAGAAACACAAACAGAAGGACGGCCAGTGGCATCATGCTGACAGCCTCAGCAGTTCTGATCAAGTGAAATCTGCTGAACAACGTCCAGTTGAAAAACATATTCACACTTTTTTCCAGTTGTGCCAGTAAATCTCTATTATACGGCATTTGACTCAGTATAAGTAAAACTAAATGAAACATCATGAAGAAACCAATATTTTGACACCCAATGCCCGTTCTACCATTGGTTTTATTTAAACATGTGACGTTTTTCCATGATATTCTGGTTGTGTATGAAGAATAACGTTGCTTCCCAGGTGTAAATCACATTTCGCATAAAGATTTGATTGGCTGGTCAGTCAGTAATGTAAAAAATGTTGTAACAACACAAAAAGTAAATGATTAGGTTATCGCTCCTGAAAGAAAAGTAGTAACGTCTTTTATTTTAACTCTAGCTATTCGTACTTGAAACTGCTGGTGATGGGAATATTATAGACTTGCCTTTAAATGTTGGTGGAATCCAAACATGGCGGTTTTCTGCCTGTTTTATCTTCTTCTGCTGCAGCCACTGTGGCAGAGAAGGATGGCGTCCCTGTTTTTAAGTTCCCCCGTTGGCGAGTGAAGGGTCAGGCCATCCCAGAGGTGGTGGACCGGTACAAGGCTACAGGAGCAGAACTCAACGTCCTGCCCTTCTGCTCCCAGTTCATCCCCATGGAGGTCATTGACCACCCCAAACATGGCTCCATTATCTACCACCCCTCGCTGCTGCCTCGCCACAGGGGAGCCTCGGCAATCAACTGGTCAGTGACGCTCATGTTGGAACTGAAAGGGATTCCTGGTAGCGACCCGACGTCTGTTTGACTGTCTCTCACAGGACCCTCATCCACGGAGACAAGAAGGGAGGCTTCACGGTGTTCTGGGCTGATGATGGACTTGACACTGGACCGATTTTGCTGCAGAGAGAGTGTGATGTTGAACCTAATGACACGGTCAACACAATCTACAAGAGATTTCTCTTCCCAGAGGGCGTCAAAGGCATGGTGAGTGACGGAGGCTCTGCGCAGAGTCCATCCAGTCTGGGACTCTAATGAATGTGTGATGTCCATGGGCAGTTCTACACATGGTCAAGAGGGTCCAGTAACCATTTAGAACTGCTTCTGGAGATAATACTAATTCAGTTTCTTATAATAATCATAAATGCAACTTATCTCCTGAAGTGAGACACTATTTGATTGATTTTATTTTTATGTGTAATTAATGATATACTTTGACAGTGTTAGGCGGTCTGATACTGCTGGCTGGATTGTGAGGCATTTTGAGTTAGCTTTTGGATGGTTACTTTGATTGGTTATTGATCCAGAAACAGCCACTCTTCTCAGATGACTCCAAAGATTCAGACTTTTTGATCTTAATGAGCATCTTGATTGTTGAGTTGTTACTAGTAACCGCCTCGTTTCATGGAGATTCCCATTATTCTAATATAATGTAGTGAAGAATGTGGTAAAGCAAACTACAGTCCTAAATAACTATGTTGTTTCATGGGTTCACCTTCTATTTATCCTCTCCTTATCTTCTACAAGTCTCCATCATGATCGGAGTGGGGCAGCAAAATCCTCAAGGTTCTCATATGTTTGCTTCTGCAGCTTGAATAACATTTCTGTGGTTGCAGGTCGAAGCGGTCAGGCTGATCACTGAAGGGAAGGCCCCACGTATCACACAACCTCAAGAGGGAGCCTCTTACGAGTGCATTCAGAAGAAAGACAACTCCAAGGTAAGCGAAACGAAAACATTTCTACGTCCTAAAAACGATGTGGAGGCAAAACGCATGGAGTGAGCCTCGTTAGCACTTTAAATGTTTATCCATGTCTGAAATCTTTGCAAATATGTACTTCTGACTTCAGAATTCACTTAGAATTAAGCTGCGAATGAATGAATGAAGCTTCTTTATTATAATCATCTCTCATGTAATGAGGAGGAGTGTAGTTTATGAATCACAGCTCTGACAGGTGACAGTTTTCTGTGAAAGGAAACTGTTAATTTATTACCCAACACCAGTGGTTTACAGCCCCATAGCCACCCACAGGCACAGAGGACCATGGACGTCTCATACTAAGTCAGGGCAACAATATTGAACGGAGAGATCTGTGGATCAATTTTAAAATTTATTCAGCAACGGGAATCAACAGTATCGTCATAACACAAAGGAAACTGATAAAAAGAACTATCAGCAATGGCATTTTGTGGAGCGTTGACTGCAGCTTCTTGGAGAACTGTTTGGACTGACACTTCACTGACACAGATGTCTTCCATAAGTCCATAATCATTATTTACAGCAATTGCTTACATCCAACTTTACCATGTCTGACTTTTTTTTGGTACAGAATCATGATGCATGTCACACATCAACAACAATGAAGTCGCATTTGCCAACGTCGCCTATAAGGACAGTCTTTGTTCGTTGGCGAAAACTGTCGTTATAGGAACATTATAAAAAGTGTTCAAAGATAACAATCCTTCCCTTAGGCACAGCTGCTCTCTGTGTTGATAGATTGACTGGAACCAGTCGGCGGAGGCCATTCACAACTGGATCAGAGGAAACGACAAAGTGCCAGGGGCCTGGGCAGAGGTCGACGGAGAGGTAACACAAGAGCCTCACAGGCCCTGGGTTTGTTCTCACCCTAGCACATCAGGACACACTTTATTCCACAGACAGACTTCCATTCATTTTCCACATCAGGAAACATCTTGTCTTGTCAAGTTAATAGCTGACATGCTCATGCATTCAAAAGAGCAAACATCTTCACCTGAAATGTTTAGTTCAGGAAGAAGTTTCCACTATTTCGCTGCAATACTGAGCCATCTTTCTCTCTCTCTCTCCTTCTCTCTCTCTCTACAGAAAGTGACTTTCTTTGGCTCGACTTTGGTGGACAATGGCACTGTGGCCAATGGCCAGCCTCTGGATATTCCTGGAGCCAGCCAGCCCGGCATCGTCACCAAGGCTGGTCTGGTGCTGTTCGGAAATGACGGCAAGACGGTGAGGATATAGATATATATGCATTATGCATCCACATGCAGAGTAGCTGGTGGATGTGTCCTGTGTTATACCAGAGACAATTAACTATTGTTTATCAGTCTAATGCCAGAGGGAAAGAAACTTTTCTTGTGGCAGGACGTTCTGGTCCACATGGACCGTGGTCTCTGAGGGCAGGAGGTCCAACAGGCTGCAATCTGACCTGGAGTCCAGGAGGAGCACAGCTCCTGTAAAGGTTAGAGGTTGCAGCTGAAGTATTCTGTAAAGGATCAATGTGGCAAGGGGTCAAGGTCAAACCTGCCTCTGACTCCCCAACGGAGGTAGTCAAAGCCCTGTGTCAGCTGACCTGTAGGGGGCGCCAGCTTCACAAGTCAGCGGAGCGTTAGCCAGATCAGCTGCAGAATTAAAAGTGTAAACAAGACTCAGAACAGGCTTCATACAGAGTTGGCCTGTCATTGTTTTGAACAGTCAGGTAGCAGATGTCAAGGTGTAAAAGCACACCACTGTGAGATGTTGCCTCTTCACTTGTAATGTCTGAATGCCCAGAGGGAGGCGCTCTCTGCAGCTTTAAGATGGAAATGTCTGGAGAAAGAGGCAACAGAAGAGAAAATGTTAAAACATGATTTAATTTCTCTGAAATCAAACAGAAGAACATTTTCCCACTGTCTACACCCGACATTCTGATTCTGCTCGTAGCTTTTCGACCGCAGGTTGTTTTTTTTTAAGTTTGCCGTACAAATAACTAGTAATTACATCAGAGAACCCAACTCAGTTATCACACAGCCTTCAGGAAAATCTAGGAAAGTATAAAATGGGTTTGCATAAAAGAAAAATATTTGCATTTACAGACATTATTCTGCCGACTGTCCTTCCTTTCTGTTTCTGATGAGTTCTGGTACCAGATGCACGCCTGGCTTACAGAACTTCTCCATGCCTGACCTCAGGCCTCTTTGCCAGCAGTCTCCCCTCAGCTTTTGCAAAAAATGTTCCTCCACAAGAAATTACTAATGCTGGAATAAAGCTGCACCATTAGTGGTCTCCTCTCCTGGTTTGCAGACATCGATCAGGTGTGAATGTGTTTCCAATGCAGTGACTTACCAGAGCAGAAGACAATGTTTTTTATTCAAACAGGTTTGACAGTGAATAGCAGCTGAGACAGACTTTATTCCTTAACCGATAAAATCTTTGTGTTGTCCTCAGGCCCTGTGTCCACCGTAAAACTCTACTTCCTCTAGTTTAATAACATAAGGTAGCTCACAAGTCCACATGTAAGCTAAGAAAACATTCAACATAAACGTTAAAGTCCTTGTTAAAGTCATCAAGGTAACATTGTGAAAGATTTCAGGGCGTCTAGGCCTGGCTGTGACTGGGAGACTGGGCTTTGACACTGTGGACCTTCCTGATGTGTCTCTTCATCAGCAGCTTCTCAGTGAATAACTCATAACAAAAGTCACAGCGGTACGGCCGCTGCTCCTTGTGTTTCGCCAACACGTGTTTCCTCAGGGTGGAGCCTCTGTTGAAGGATTTGTCACAGACGTGGCAGCTGAAGGGCTTCTCTCCGGTGTGAGTCCTGAGGTGTTCGGTCATGTGGCCCTTCAGCTTAAAGCCCTTCCCGCAGTAATGGCAGCTGTAGGGCCGCTCCCCGGTGTGGACCCTCATGTGGTTCTGCAGGTTGCTCTGGCAGGGGATGTGCTTGCCACAGATGTGACAGTCGAAGTTGCCCTTGCCGTCTTTGGCTTTGCTCTCGTGCATCTTGAGGTGCCACGTCAGCACGATCTTTTTGGTGAAGATGTAGTTGCAGATGTGGCAGCGGTACAGCGTGGTGGTGGTCTTTTCCTCCGGCAGTTTGGGATCCTCTGGAGAAACCTGCTGGGAGCCTGTGCTCTCCTCCGCCGCTCTGCAGTCTTCCAGCTGCTGAACGGTTTTGATCAGCTCTCTGGTCAAGGCGTCGCCGTCGTCGTCGCTGTCTTCCATGGACGCCTCCTCCTTCGCACCGCTGCTCCACAGCTCCTCGCTCTGCTCCTCGCTCTGCTCCTCGCTCTGCTCCTCTTTGACCTCTGACTCCCCTGGCTCCTCCACGCTCAACTCCTGCTGCTTAGCAGTAGCTTCTTCTGTGGACGTAGTTACCGGAGCTTTGGCATCTACAATGACAAACACAAATGGAGGCCGTCATAAAGTGGAACTAAATACTTCTCCCCATCAGTAGCTTTAAATTCTGGAAATTCAGATCAGAAGGCCCATTTCCTCGGCCATAAATGATTATGATGGATAAAGCCGGAAGTGTAACATGGACATCATCCAGCTGAATGTCTTCATGCCACGTATGAATCCTCCACATCTTGAGGGTGGAGATTTGATGCCTACAATTCATTCTGCAGTCACAACCTTTGCTATCTTCCTTTTCCTCAAGATTTCCACAAGGTGTCACTATTAACTAAGTGGTCTTAGAATGACATCACGCAGAAAACCAGCTGAACTTCCTGATCGATCTGGTGGTAACCCAGTCGTTAACATACACCAGATAAGAAAGAAACTTTTTTTTTTCCCTTACTGTCTGCAGTTAAATTAGACCAAACCTCTGTTGTTTTAGATCAGTTAAACTTACACAAATCGATTTTTGAAGATTTTGAGTTCATAATCGTCTTTGGAACTGCACGACTTTGGTCAAACCTTTCGGGTTTTCCTTCCACAACGTAGAGGTCTCGTGCGGTTTGGAGTTCTGGCCCAGTCCTCACAGAACCGGTGTAACAGAGTCCGTTTTCATCTAGGGCTGCCTCACTCGTCACACCTTTCCAGCTCCACCCACGACCTCTCTATACTTGCGCATAATACGCATTTGTCGTACCGTTGATCATTTATCTAACCCAATAAAACTATCTGGGCTGTTGTTGAGATTATATATATATATATATATATATATATATATATATATATATATATATATATATATATATATAAGCAATACCATAAAGTATTGCAATAAAACTTTTGAAAACTTTTGAGTCAACTATCTGAAAATTGTTCCCAGTGATGAACCAGACTGGAGCAGAGCCATGTTCGCCTCCCTGACATCTTTGGACTTTCCAATCAGGTCAAACCAGAAAGCAGTGCGTCTTCTGCTGTGGCCTTGAAATACATACACAGGTTTGTGTCCAACTAACCCAAATGGGACAGTCAACCCCGTCCAGGACGCCTCTTGTTGATAAGCACACATTAAAAACATAAATTTAACACATTCTGTCATGAGTAGGGTTTCTTTTTTATTTGGTGTATCTCAACTTCTGGTTCAGTTCAAGTTGATATGATACATGAGAATCTTAATGCCTGAAAATATTTTCAACAACAAGCCAAGGTGCACAATGGGACCATAAAGCAGAATAAAAACATTGTTACAAGTCTGACTTTAAAAAGGCTGAATATTAACCACTGACGCTGCAGCAGTGAGTGAGATCTCATTTCTGACATGATGCTGCTTTTCTTTTACAGTTTTTTATGAATGGCAGCATTAAAATGCTGCAGCTCTCTCACTTTTTAAGCGACATGCATGACGTTTTAACACGTTCAAACAATTGACTCTCTGTCAGATGAAGTCGTGTTTTGCAACCAATTTAGAAATAAGCCATTATCTTCATTTCTGAGCTTCCAGCAACTGAATGGAGGCGTTTATACGAAAAACCTCCTGTGAATAACCCGCTTTAAACTGGACCAGTCGGACAGACTGGGCGCACTGGGTGAAGCAGCCCTTTCACCCAGCCAAACCCGCGGGGACATTTGTCCAGAGTGACGCCCGGGACCGGTTAGCCCGGACCGGCTAACAGCAGCAGGAGACAGGAAGCTGCCGGAACAGGCCCTGACCCGCGGGTTGATGCGAGGGTCGACTCGGCGAACCGCCTGGTGACGGGCAGCCGCCAGAGAGCCCTACCTGCCCTGTGGAGCCTTATCTCCGGCTGGTAGACCAGGTCCAGCATCCGCTGCAGCCTCTGGTTCTCCAGCTGGGTTCGGTAGACCTCCTCCTGGTACTCCACCACCGTCTTTTCCACGAACCCGTAGATGTCCACGGCGGCGGCGGTCAGCCTCTCCGTGAGGAAGGCGTTGAAGGAGTGCAGAGTAGCAGCGGCGGCCATGTTTCCTCTTTTCAAAGCGAGCCGAGGGCTAAAGGCTTCCTGTAGAAGCAGCCGCCGCGGAGGATGCTGCAGCCGCGCGGTCACAGCATCCAGGCTACCTGTGTGCTCGCCGGCGCCCCCTGCTGCTCACAGCTCCGACTTTCACTTTTCAAACAGTCCTGTGGAGCACGACCTCCCTATTTGTGGAGCAATATAGTTTTAAAATCCAATTTTCATTTGATTTTAAAATAAAATTTCTACGGTCATGTATTGCTGGTCAGATTTATGTGGGTAAGTGTCTTGGAGCATAGCAACAGAGTTTGGTGGTAACTTGAGTAACTTTTTTTTAATTATTATTATATTTTATTAAATTTTTATTTATTTATCCAGATGTATTTCAAGAACTGTCACAGCATACGCAGATGTAATCGCAGCGATGATATCGTACTGTTTGTGCTCATTTCGTTACTTTTCTCTTCAGCTGCTGGTGAAGAACCTGCAGTTTGAGGATGGCAAGATGATTCCAGCAGCCCAGTACTTCTGCTCCGGGGCCAGCACAGCTGTGGAGCTGACCGAAGAAGAGAAACGCTTTGCTGAGCAGATGAGGGTGGGATGAAGTGACGTACTGAACAAGGAACGGCAAACACTGGTCAAACCAAAGATCTTACTCAGGTCTTCCTTCCTCTTTCCATTTTTCTGCCAGGCGGTATGGAAGAGTATCCTGACCAATGTCAGCCAGATTGAAGACTCCACAGATTTCTTCAAGTCTGGTGCAGCTTCGATGGATGTGGTCAGGTAAATAAAACATTTATCTGATTGATTGACCATTAACTCTTTCATTGTTGTTTGCAGAACTGAATGAATGAAACTTGAGCGTCACAATAGGATGTCAATTGCAAAATACAAAAATCTACTAACATCTTTTTCTTTCGTTCAAGAAGTTTTGATATGGAGATCCTATTGTTACTGGTCAAATCCTAAAATATTAAGTCTCTCTCTTAACCTCCAGGCTTGTTGAGGAAGTGAAGCTTCGTGCCAGCACCTGCCAGCTGCAGAACGAGGATGTTTACATGAACACCACCTTCCAGGATTTCATCCAGATGTGTGTCAGGAAACTACGGGGGGAAGATGGGGAGGAAGAGCTCGTGGTTGACTATGTACGCAGTCGGCACCCCACCAGGAAACAATGTCTGACAGCATTAGTCATTAATGGTTTGCCTTGCCAGGTGGAAAAGAACATTAACAACATGACGGTAAAGATCCCCCATCAGCTGTTCATCAACGGAGAGTTTGTGGATGCAGATGGCGGAAAGACCTACAAGACCATCAACCCCACTGACGGCACAGTAAGAGATGAACAGCATGACATCTTCCTCTTCTAGTTCAGGAACTAGTTCAGTTTTTGAAACACTAATCAGCTGCTCCCACTTGTCACAAAAAAATAACAATATCTCGTTACCATGGCTACACATTGTTGCAACTGTCTGAAAGTAAAGATGTAAGAGTAAAAATCCCTCCAGCTGCACAGCATCCACACCTGGAAGAGACAACAGTCCAGTCATCTCAACCAAAAAATAGGACTAAAAGTATAGAAAATGAACAAATCAGAACTAACTCACTGGGTCTACTCCCGACACGCCGCCGCCAGGAGAGGAGCAAATCTGGACAAGTGATGTGTCTTACAGGCCATCTGTGAAGTGTCTCTGGCCCAGATCAGTGATGTGGACAAAGCAGTCGCTGCTGCTAAGGAGGCGTTCGAATCGGGGGAGTGGGGCAAGATGAACCCGAGGGACAGAGGAAGACTCATCTACAAGTAAGTAGAACTGGATGATGCTTGGTATCTAAGGTATGCTGCATTTTACACTTAGCATTTAATGTATCTGGCTTTTAGCTCAGTTTCTACTTAATACTAAACTGGATTTGTAAAGAATAACTCAGAACAATGCCTTACAATAAAAAAGTAATGGGATATAATATTTATAAGGCATGTTTTTCTTGTGACCGTTGGACGATGTTAGAGAAACCAGTTCAATCTGTCTATTGTGTTAAGCCAGACTGTTGAAGCAGCGAATAGGTCCAAGATGAAAACAGATCTCTTTCACTCAAAAATCTAAATCAATTCAAAGACCTCAATAAATAACAATACATAGATTTTTGTTTCTTGATTTTTTGCCAATGGTAGCCTTTATTGAACACTAAATGCATAGGAAACATCCATCCATCCATCCATCCATCCATCCATCCATCCATCCATCCATCCATCCATCCATCCATCCATCCATCCATCCATCCATCCATCCATCATCATCCATCCATCCATCCATCCATCCATCCATCCATCCATCCATCCATCCATCCATCCATCCATCCATCCATCCATCCATCCATCCATTTTCTGTTCACCTTTGTACCTCGAGGGGTCAGGAGGTGCTGGTGCCTATCTCTGGCTACGTTCCGGGCGAGAGGCGGGGTACACCCTGGACAGGCCGCCAGTCTGTCGCAGTAGTCATCAACATATATATTTGAACTCATTCATTCATAACACTGGTGACATATCGTATGCAGGTGAAGCTGACAAACTTTAGACAATGTCAGACCCCTCTGCTTGCTGACTGATTTGGAGTATCAAACATATTTCCTGGCATTCTAGACTCTTCTTTTTCCCCAACTCCTCCCACAGACTGGCAGACCTGATGGAGGAACACCAGGATGAGTTAGCTACTATTGAAGCTATGGACTCTGGAGCCGTTTACACTCTGGCCCTCAAGACTCACGTGGGCATGTCCATCCAGACGTTCCGTTATTTTGCTGGCTGGTGTGACAAGATCCAGGTAAGACAGCTGACTTTATTAGAGTCAGCCAAATCCCCTCTTCAGATCCAAAAATATGCATTTTTGCACATTTGTAACTAAAGCCTCTAATTTCCCCTCACTAAAATAATGTAACTTTCCTCCAGGGCAGCACCATTCCCATCAACCAGGCCAGACCCAATCGAAATCTGACTTTCACCAAGAAGGAACCAATTGGGTGAGGATCCTTTTTCTTCTTTTCAAATATTTTTTCATTTCTTAACACAATCCCTTTACCATCATATAAACACTAAGAATGACATCAAGATGCTGAACTTATTCAAGCTGCATGAAAGACATTCAGAGGTTCAAAACCCCCTAGAACTGTTTCTGGCTTGCTGTGGTATCTGAATGTTCACAGCTGTAATAATTATATACTTTATGCCACCTTCCACCAAGTACGTTTAAATTCAGTCAAAATATTGCAGAAATAAACTAATCTGAGAGACTTACAGCAAAGATGGCCTTCAATGAGACATCAGTATGTCTGGGGATCTGCAGACCAGTCTGTGTGCTGTGTGGTGGTTACAGTCAGTCAGCCCAGATAAGCTCCCCTTGCTCTTGTCAGAGTGTGCGCCATTGTGATTCCGTGGAACTATCCGCTGATGATGCTGGCATGGAAGACCGCCGCCTGCCTGGCAGCTGGAAACACCGTCGTCCTCAAACCAGCTCAGGTAGGATCCATGTTTTACACTCCGGACACAGAGAGAAGGAAACCCTGAAGGTGTTTCAGACTTTCGCATCCTCTGGATTCCAGGTCACTCCGCTTACAGCGCTCAAGTTTGCTGAACTGGCAGCAAGAGCGGGACTGCCCAAAGGGGTGGTTAACATTCTCCCTGGATCAGGTGCACTCGCATATCTCAGACTTGTTATATTCCTGACGGAAAGACGGAGGCTCTTTCTGAAACTTCTGCCTTCCTTTTAGGCGCTCTGGTGGGCCAACGTTTGTCTGACCATCCTGACGTGCGAAAGCTGGGCTTCACGGGTTCTACAGAAATCGGCAAGCACATCATGAAGAGGTGAGAAGCCCTCACACAACACTCTGAAATTTAAAACCTAGAAGCAAACATAACTGCTCTCATTGTGTGTGTGTTCTGTTTCACCCCAAGCTGTGCAGTCAGTAATGTCAAGAAGGTTTCCTTGGAGCTGGGAGGAAAATCCCCTCTCATCATCTTCGGTGACTGTGACATGGACAAGGCTGTCCGCCTGGTCGGTCCCTTCGGACGACTGTTCATCAGTTGGTGCTTGTGTTTACGGTTGGCAGCGCTAAGACCCGGCTGTTGTTTGCGTTGCAGGGCATGAGCTCCGTGTTCTTCAACAAAGGAGAGAACTGCATTGCAGCTGGCCGGCTGTTTGTAGAGGAGACCATCCATGACCAGTTTTTGAAAAAAGTGGTACGTTTCATCCCGGACTGGTTACTGTTTATCACAGGCCAAAATGGAGACACACAGCAGGCCTCCACAGAGATCAGAGTAGTGATACTGGTTGCTCTGGTTGTGACTCATCAAGCTAACCAATCACAGTCAAGTAAACTTGTCTAACTAATCATTCACTCCTTTGCTACTGAGCCTTTGCTACATTTGAACAGTCCTGATTTGAGCTCTGAAAGACAATCCTGTTTATCTTTTTTTTACAGGTTGAGGAGGTTAAGAAGATGAAGATTGGTGATCCGTTGGACCGCTCCACAGACCACGGCCCTCAGAATCACAAAGCCCACCTGGACAAACTCTTGGAGTTTTGTCAGATTGGCGTAAAGGAGGGAGCCACCCTCGTCTACGGAGGAAAGCAGGTCCAGAGACTCGGTGAGGCAGCAGGAGGAGCGAGAATGGCGACTGATTCCTGTTTGGTCTTCACCCAGCCCTTAAAGTTGCGCTTTTGTTTTCCTCCGGTTCCAGGTTTTTTCTTTGAGCCCACGGTGTTCACTGATGTGCAGGACCACATGTACATCGCTAAGGAAGAGTCATTTGGTCCCATCATGATCGTTTCCAAGTTCAAAACAGGGTAAGTTGAAATCCAAATCTGCGTTGTGCATGTGAACGCTCTGGTTTAATGCGCTTCCTCCCAACGTCCTCCAGAGAGGTGGACGACGTCCTGAGGAGAGCCAATGCTTCAGAGTACGGACTGGCTTCAGGAGTTTTTACCCGGGACATCAGCAAAGCTCTGTATGTGAGCGAGAGGCTCAACGCCGGCACTGTCTTCATCAACACCTACAACAAAACAGATGTGGCCGCGCCCTTTGGGGGCTTTAAGCAGTCCGGATTTGGCAAAGACCTGGGTGAGGGATTACGGCATCACTCAGAACCCAGATTGGGTTCAGAAATAATAACACTTGAACCGACACATGAACAGACATGCAGTGAAAGAGTAGGAACGACTGAAGAGTGTGTTTGCTGTCAACAGGTCAAGAGGCCCTGAATGAATACCTGAAGACAAAAGCAGTGACCATCGAGTATTAAGTTCCCTTCCAGCAGAGGGCAGCATCTCTGGAGACATCTTGGTGGATGGATGCAGACCTAATGATACTGATTATTCTGGTTGTGCCTCAACAAACTGATCAAGTCCTGTAAATGTATCCAATCATTTTGGTTGGTGAGGCGTGTTTATCTAGGAAAAAAGAAAAAAGAAAGAACAATAGACTAAAAGACAAATAAATTTGTCAAAACCAAAGACTGATTACAGTAAAAAGAGAGAATAAAACTGGAAGAGTAATAGTTAGCTAGTAGAAACCTCCTCATAATCCCTTATTTAAAGGTAAATGAAAGCAATAATTATAAGTTATAAATGTAAACACTTTCGAAAAAGTGGAACACTTTGAATTTGTGTAATCTTAGTGTTTCTTTGTATTATTAATATCTTAGGACAATAATTGATGGATGATATAATAATAATAGAATAATAAAACATATTTCAGGACTTGCCTTTAGATCAAACAATAAATTACTATGTTTTTTTAATTATTATTTTTCTTGCACTAGTCAGACTTGCTCTGACATTTACACAGAAAACACCAAACTCTGAAAATTCATGAATAAATGTATTGTTAAACCCAGAAATTACTCATAATTGCCAGGGATATGAATATTTTTGGGTGTAGCTGGTTTTATAAAGTTCCAGTTTGTTTTCTCCATGTGACAGGGGATCCCTCACCGATTCCTGACATGCACCGGAAAGAAAATCCATACATACACAAATAAAAAATTATATTTAACTCAGAAAAATTGCCAGAAGTGGGAAGAGTGCCCAAAAATTGTACTCGTGTAAAAGTAGCGCTACTTCAAGTAAAAGTGAAAAGTAACTGTTCAAGTACGAGTAAAAAAAAAAACATTTGGTAAAAAATCTGCCCAAGTACTGAATGATCACTCAGTTAATATTTAAAAATGACATTGTGACATCTACCAACATATACATGTAAGTGGAAAGTTTTGTATTTTAAGAATGAAAATGACAATAATACATATAAGAAAAAAATATGAAAATCAGTTTCTTATAATAATAATAATAATAATAATAATAATAATAATAATAATAATAATAATAATAATAATAATAATAATAAAAACTTCTGAAACTGTAACAAAAACTGCAGCTGTGTGTCTGTGTCTGGTGATTAAAAAAACTCTTTTTTTTTTGGTTTGTTCTTCATTGAATGGCAGCAATACTTAATAATGAATTTACTGGAGTAAAATATCAGAGTGATAAACATACTCCTAAAAGTACTTTTAAATCGGCATTTATTTATTTATCTATCTATCTATCTATCTATCTATCTATCTATCTATCTATCTATCTATCTATCTATCTATCTATCTATCTATCTATCTATCTATCTATCTATCTATCTATCTATCTATTTATCTATTTATTTATTGATTTATGTTTTTCAAAAAATTACTCAAGTTAGTAAACACTTGAGTCATTTACTGACTTGAGTAAATACTCAAGTTAGGGCCATGTGAAATAAAGCTCATTCAACATTTTAGGTTCGCTTCACAAGGTGTAACTGCAGAGTGGGTTGGAGCTTCGAGAGACACCGACCCAGACCGACCCAGAAACGGACAGAACCTGCCACCGGGACAACAGAGGCGTCTCGGGCCCAGTCAGACTCTCAGTGGTCTCAGTGGAGCGCAGCGCCACAGCGCCCTCTGCCGGATGGCAACTGAATGATTCCAACGCTGACAACAAGATGAATTCCCGTTCCCCCTCCTGCCTCCCCCTCCTCGCTCACTGACCTGCTGCCGATTCTTCTTCTTCTTCTTCTTCTTCTTCTTCTTCTTCTTCTTCTTCTTCTTCTTCTTCTTCTTCTTCTTCTTCTTCTTCGTGTGAGAGGAGGGTGTGTGAGGAAGAGCGGAAGGAAAGTGAAAGAGAGCGTGTTTGTATATCTTTATTTTCTTACTGTCTTTTCACTGGGTGTCTAGTTTTATGTTTAATTGTAATTTTGTGTTAGTTGTATCACGTTTTAAGGGGTTTTTTGTTCGTTTGTTTGGGGTGTGGCCGTCGGGCGTGCCTGGCTTGCCGCGTGACGGCAACAATGGTGTGTGGTGGTGGGTCTTTCTCCACGCTGACACGGAAGAACGGCATCAAGGTGGGTGCCGGCTCTCCGTGCAGCGTGGAGGAAGTTTAGCGGTTGGAGAGGTGATTGGGCACGGGTCTATTCGGTCGGCTGCACGGATGAATGGGGCGGTGGTTTTATTTGTGGAAAAAGTCGAACAAGCTCAACAGTTGGTGGAGGCGGGCGTGTCCGTCAACGGCTTATTTCTGCAAGTGTCACCGTTAACGCTACCAGCAAAAAAGGTGACACTATCGAATGTACCGCCGTTCATTAGCGATGAATTTCTAGTAAAGGAGCTATCGAGGCATGGTAAGGTGGTTTCACCTGTTAAGAAGGTACCATCAGGGTGTAAATCACCTTTATTGAAGCATGTAGTTTCTCATAGAAGACTGTTCATGCTTCTAAAACAAAAAAGATGAGGAACTAAACTTACGGTTTCATGTGAGACTAGATGACTTCGACTACGTGCTTTTTGCAACCACTTCAAATATGAAGTGCTTTGGTTGTGGACAAGAGGGACACATTATAAAAATGTGTCCCGACAGGGCCGGGCTAGCCGCTTCGGTATCGGAGGAAAAGCAGCCCCCTGCTGGGCAAGATGGCGAGGCCGCTATTGCTGCTGCGGCGGGGGAACCCGCTGCTGCGGCGGGGGAACCCGCTGCTGCTGCTGCGGCGGGGGAACCCGCTACTGCGGCGGGGGAACCCGCTACTGCGGCGGGGGAACGCTACTGCGGCGGGGGAACCGGAGAATGTTGATGAAGGGTCAGTGGAGGACGGAGATAAGAGTGGGAATGTCGGAAAAGGTGAGAGCATGGCGGTGTGTGGTGATGGGGTGAATGGTGGTGTGAGCGAGAGTGTGGAGCAGGTGAATGACGGTGTGGAAAGAGATCTGGAAGATGTGAGGGGCGATGAGGAGTGTCGAGTGTATGAAGGTGAGGGAAGAGAAGCTCAGGCAGAAGGACAAAGCAAAAGGAAAGGCAGTGTAGAGTCGGTGGTAGGGGATGGAGCAGAGAGAGAAACGGGTGAAGTAGAGGAAGACATGGACTTTGAAGCCAGTGTCCCGGCAAAGAGACGCAGCAAAAGGCAGAATGTAGTGGCTGCTGCAAAAGCTAGCAAACAAGCTAGCAAGTTGACTGTAGAGAGGAGGGAGGTGTCAGACAGCAGTGATACAGAGAGCTGGTTCTCTGACGCCAGCGAAGCCTCTGTATCAAAAATGGACAAAGAACCGAGATACCCAGCAGAAGCCTTTACAACCTTTTTAAGGCAAACAAAAGGGTTAAAGGGGGTAAAATTAGAAAAATATTTCCCTAATTTAAGAACGTTTTATTTCTCTGCCCGACACCACATCAGACACAAAGAAGAATCAGATTTTACGGACACAGAAATTTACAGGTTAAAAAAGATAATGTCAAAAGTTAGAAAACAATTTTAATGATGTATAGTGATTATTTATTATTTATTGTAGTGTTTTGGTGGGTTGGTTTTAGTTTTTTACACAAGATGGAGTCTTTTAAAATAGCATCTTTGAATTTAAATGGGGCCAGAGAGGTTGAAAAACGGGCATTAATTTATCAAATGTTAAAACAAAGAAAATTGATGTAATTTTTCTGCAAGAGACACACAGTGATCACATATTAGAAACGGAATGGCGCAGAGAGTGGAAGGGAGAGGTCATATTAAGTCATGGCACATCTATGAGTGCAGGGGTAGGCTTTCTTTTTTCTAAAGCTTTTACCCCTATTGCTATTGAAACCGAACACGTTATAAAAGGGAGGTGTCTTTTAATAAAGACAAAATTTGATTTTTTTAGCATGGTTTTTATTAATATTTATGCTCCGACTACCAATGCAGAGAAGAAACGTTTTTATGAAAAAATTGGGGAAAGACTAGGTGATTGCGGGCCAGAAGATTATGTTTTCATAGGTGGGGATTTTAATTGCACTGAGAATGAGTTTTTAGACCGCAATCATGCAGAGCCGCACCCGATAGCCCAACATGTCTTGAAGCAGCTGGTCTCGTCTCATGGCCTGGTGGACGTATGGAGGAGGATGACGCAGGCTCCAGGCAGTACACATGGTCCCATTAAGGAAGGTAAAATCTCTTTAGCTCGTTTAGATCGTTTTTATTGTTTTAAACACCATTTTAACGTGTTTAAAACATGCCAGATTTTACCCGTGGCTTTTACGGATCATTCGTTGCTTTTAGGTAGTGTTTTTATCAGAAACATTTTACCTAGAAGCGCGTACTGGCATTTTAATTCTGCTTTGACTTACGATCAGAGTTTTAAAGAGGTTTTAACTTATTTTTGGAACGGTTTTAGACAAACGAAGGCTGATTTTATCTCCATCAGACAGTGGTGGGACTATGGAAAGGTCCAGATCAAACTGCTGAGTCAACAGCACACTGTCAATGTCACTTGTGACATTGCCGGATCTATCAGAGATCTGGAGATGAGCATAGTGGAGCTAGAACTTAGTGACGCCACAGGAAATCGAGAGCATATTGAAGCTCTCAAATCAAAAAGGCTAACTTTGGCCAACCTGCTGGAGAATAAAGTCCAAGGCGCGTTGGTCAGATCCCGGATGCAAGACATCGCAGAGATGGATGCTCCCTCTGGCTTTTTCTTTGGCCTGGAGAGGAAGCACGGGCAGAGGAAAATGATCCACTCGTTGCTGTCGGACACGGGGCAGCATCTGAGCGAACCAGGGCAGATAAGGAGGAGGGCTGTCGATTTCTACCGTTCACTGTTCCAAAGCGAGAACAGGGAGAACGACGAACTGATGGAGGAGTTCTGTGAGGAACTGCCTCAGGTCTCTGAGGAGACCAACAGCGAGTTGGAGCCCTCTGAGCATGCAAGAACTCCACACAGCCCTCCTGGGCATGCAGGGCCAGAAGTCCCCGGGTGTTGATGGGCTCACGGTGGAGTTTTTCAAGACCTACTGGGATCTTCTGGCCCAGGACATGCTTGAGGTGTGTAATGAAAGTCTGGCCACTGGTTCGCTCCCCTTGTCCTGTCGTAGGGCGGTCATCGCCCTGCTGCCCAAGAAAGGAAACCTGCAGGATATAAAGAACTGGCGCCCCGTGTCCCTTCTCTGCACCGACTATAAAATCCTCTCCAAGGCCCTAGCCACAAGGTTAGGAAGAGCCATGGAGCAGGTCATCCACCGGGATCAGACCTATTGCGTCCCCGGCAGGTCTATGGTAGATATATACCTAATTCGGGATGTTTTGGAAGTCTCCGGTTCATTGGGTTTACAAACTGGCTTGATTTCACTAGATCAAGAAAAGGCTTTTGACCGCGTTGAACACGGCTTCCTCTGGAAAATTATGGGGAAGTTCGGGTTCAGCGAGGGTTTTATCGCCAAGATCCAGGTATTGTACAGTGACATTGAGAGTGTGCTGAAGATCAACGGTAGCCTGTGTGCTCCTTTTAGGGTGTGTAGAGGTGTCCGACAGGGCTGCGCGCTCTCGGGGATGCTCTACGCACTCTCCCTGGAACCCCTCCTGCAAAAAATGCGCTCAGAGATCCATGGCATGGTTTTACCTGGTTTTAACAACAAATTGGTTTTATCCGCCTATGCTGACGATCTCGTGGTTTTTATTAAAGATCAAAGAGACGTCAGCGCTTTAACCAAGATCATACAGAAATTCTCCATGCTGTCTGCCGCCAAGGTGAATTGGGGAAAGAGCGAGGCCCTGGCTGTTGGCAAGTGGGCTGAAGGACTCCCGGCTCTCCCCAAGGACATGACTTGGAGGAAAGATGGCTTGAAATATCTTGGTGTTTTTTTAGGCGGAAAGGACTTTGAAGAAAAGAACTGGGGAAACGTAGAACAAAAGATAACAAATAAACTTGCCAAATGGAAATGGCTACACGGCAAAATGTCTTATCGAGGAAGAGTGCTGGTGTTAAATAACCTGGTTGCCTCACAACTATGGCATAAACTTGTTGTGTTAGACCCGCCATCAAGGCTGTTGGCTAAAATCCAAACAGAAATGGTGAATTTCTTTTGGAATAACCATCACTGGGTACCGCAATCAGTGTTGTTTTTACCTAGAGGAGGGGGGCCAAGGCCTTGTCCACCTGGCTAGTAGAGTGGTTGTTTTTAGATTGCAGTTTTTACAGAATATTTGACAGGATCTCCTGTATGGAGAGATGTGGCCAGCTGCATTTTGAGACGTGTGAATTTATTGGAGTTGGATGCTGCTCTGTTTTTAACAAATTTTAGTCTTTTAAAGTTAAGGGAGATTCCGCAATTTTATCAGAGCGTTTTTAAATCGTGTGTGCTTTTTTAAATTGCGTAGATCGGAAACGAATGACTCTCTGCATTGGCTTTTAGAAGAACCATTGGTCTGCGGAGCAAGATTAGACGTCGAAAAAGACACGTTCCTAGGACTATCAGAGACTTTGAGCAGAGCTGGACTGGTGACTTTAAAGCGGCTGATCCAATTTTCTGGAGCGGATTTTGGAGACGCCCAGGGGGTTGCCGCTGCAGTCAAAATGAAGTCCACCAGAACAATGGAACGTGTCCTGGGGAAAGTAAAGGAGAGACTGGCTGCAGAGGAGAAGGATTTACTGCAGTCATACAAAGAGAAGGAATGCCTACCAAGAGACACGGATCCATTCCCAAAGGTACTCCTGAGTCCGGGCTTTGAAGAGGACAGTGGTCCCCTTTTAAAGAACACGGACTCGGAAATGGACCTGTGCAAGGTAATG